CTGGGGATAAATTTCTGCTGCCAACACTGTTACAGAATAAAGAAGAGTACATACTGTATACTTAAGTTGTAAACATGCAATTTGTCTCTAGGCTTATCTGTGTTGTCATGGTACTCTAGTTTTGAAAGTGACTTTTGCTTCAGGTTTGTCGGCCGCTTCAAGTCTCGGAAAGAACGTGAAGCGGAGCTTGGAGCCCGGGCTAAGGAGTTCACTAACGTGTACATCAAAAACTTTGGGGAGGACATGGATGATGAGAAACTACGGGAAATATTTGGAAAATTTGGTAAGTGACTCTGCAAGTCATTGTGTGCTCCGACTGGTTTATGTATATGGATTCTAACGAACTGATTTTCTGTAGGACCTGTTCTAGGCATCAGAGTCATGACTGATGAAAGTGGGAAGTCCAAGGGCTTAGGCTTTGTCAGCTATGAACGGCATGAAGATGCCCAGAAGGTGAGACTGTAGATCTCTGGTGAGATGTTTGTAATTGGTGCCTTTAAATCTTGCTTTATCCAAAGGCAAGTGTTTGTACATTTTTGTACTTTTTGAAGTGTTGAGGGATGTGTGTTGGGTGGTGTGTTGGCTCGATGTGTAGTACTGTCACCTTACACTTCCAGGGACAGGGAATCAAGTGACATATCTGCTCTGTGGCTGTGATTTTTGTATGTTCTCACTGAGTCATATGTGTTTCCTCCTGCAGTAGAATGACATGCTTTTAGCCAAATTTATGCCTCAAATTGCATACAGCATATCAACATAAGTGACCAATTCAGCCAGTGTGCCAAGCGTCAAAATTTGTCTTCATCAATATTTTAAATCGATGGATCCTTTTTGAAAATTTAATTTAATTTTATGCTCCTTTAAAGCGCTTAAATTCATAATAATAATTGTTTTCCTTTAGTATCACTACGTAATAGGGTGACCACCTAATCCATGTCAGGGGGGACACTACTTCAGCTTTTACAAACTACTTTAAAGCTGAAAGGGTTCTGTGCTCTGCTAAAATGTTTGGTTAGTTCCTAGATTGAAAGACTCATCCAGCTCTTTCGCATTAACATTACTGACACATATGCATGATTATAGGAGACTGACCAATCAGCATACGGCAAGAACCCAGTGCTTAAGTGAAATCCTGGTCCTTTTAATTGAAATGTATGAAATGTATGAAATGGTAGTTTACAAATCCTGTTGTAGCTCATAGTGTCCCTCCTGACATGGATTAGGTGGTCACCCTACTACGTAACCATGGGAGTAGTACAAATGATCACTAAAGAAAAAGGTGGTTTGTGCACTATGCAAAGCTTCGATAGCATACCACAGTGCTATGCACGAGCAGCTGAAGAGAAAACATACACTATTTTGGACTATGGATCGTCTGAGTAGGCAAAATCACCCTAAGTGCTGTCTATTCCTGTTTATTAAATTAGCATTACTATGGAAAGCTTTAAATATCTTTGTCCTTGTAGTCGCCAAATACTCTCATTATTAAAGCCAAAAAGATGTTCAGCTGGGGTGGCGCAGTGGTGCAGTGGTTAGCACTGTTGCGTCACGCCTCACACCTCTCCAGGTATGTGGAGTTTGCATGTTTCCCCCCCGCAATCCAAGAACATGCTAAGGCTCACTGGAGTTACCAGATTGCCCGTAGTGTGTGAATGGCGTGTGAGTGTGCCCTGCGACGG